GACACGCGATCTTCATCAGGACTGCTTATGTCGCGCCGCGGAGGTGCATCGCACCGCGGAGGTGCGTTGCACCGCGGTGACTGTTGGTGTCATGCCGCGACGCGTGAAAGCCTGGGAGTTTCTGTCCAGGTCGCGGCATGCGTCGCGCCGCGGCGCGCGCGTGGCGCCTGGCAGCTCGCCCTTCTTCGCTTCTCGGGCTCGTTTACGCTTGTTTGGGCTCGAAATTCGATTCCATTTTTTCCTTCGCGTCGCTAACGAACCCCTCTATTCAATGATTCTTGAATGACCAAATTATTCTTGAAATACAATCCTCCCAAAGCTCTTGACCATCACATCTAAAGGCGTGATTCGCGTGCGACTTCGCGCGACTTCACATTTTGGGCCCGTTTGGACTCATACGAACTCGAAATCGAGTTTCGGTTTTTTCTATGTGTAGCCAACGAACCCATCTACACAACCATGGTTTCCCGAGCTAAATCTATTCTTCACAGGGCCTCCGACCTGCACACCAAAAAAATAAGGAAAAACCAAAAAAAACATACAGAAAACACAAAAAAGACCGAAACAACGAAAAACACACAATAAACGACAAAATGAACTAAAAGCTAACTAAAAGACCAAATATGGGGGAAAAAGAATGGAAAAATAATAAGAAAAAAATGCAATAAAAATGGGACAAACACTTTGTAAAGTTTACCTTGGTAACGAGCAATCTTGTGAGGTTATAGGGAAATGTGCAATAAAAATCAAGCTCAGCGGGTCTGTATGGGAATTGAAAAATGTCAGACATATTCCCGACCTGACGAAGAATTTAATCTCCGTAGGCCAGCTAGACAATGAAGGCTACACGACAATCTTTCATGGTGATGATTAAAAGATTTCAAAGGGTGCAATGACAATTGCTCGAGGCAAAAAGAGTGGTACTCTTTACAAGACCGCATGAGCATGTCATCTGATTACAGTTGCAGCAAATGAAAGTCATAATCTATGACACCAAAGACTTGGGCATATGAGTGAAAAAGGAATGAAGATCATTCACTAAAAAGGAAAATTACCAGGTCTCTAGTCAATAGAAGTTGACATGTGTGAAGACTGTATACTTGGAAAGCATAAGAGAGTTAGCTTTCAGACAAGTAGAAGAACTCCAAAGAAGGAGAAGCTTGAGCTCATTCACTCTGATATTTGGGGTCCAACCATTGTCCCATCCGTTGGTGGGAAGCAATACTTCGTGACTTTTATCGATGACCACTCCAGAAAGGTATGGGTTTACTTTCTGAAACACAAGTCTGAAGTATTTAAAGCTTTCAAGATTTGAAAAGCTATGGTGGAAAACGAGACAGACTTGAAGATTAAGAAGCTCAGATCTGACAATGGTGGTGAATATGTGACCACCAGATTCAAGAAGTTTTGTTATTAGTACGGTATCAGAATGGCGAGAACCGTGCCTGGTACGCCTCAACACAATGGTGTAGCTGAGCACATGAATCGAATGATGACTGAAAGAGCCAGAAGCTTGCGTGTGCAGTCAGGCCTACCAAAGCAGTTCTGGGCAGAAGCAGTCAACACGGCAACTTACTTGATCAACCGAAGTCCATTAGTACCATTAGATCACAAGTTACTAGAAGAAATATGGAGCGGAAAAGAAGTAAAACTCTCACATCTTAGAGTTTTCGGGTGTGTAGCATACGTGCACATCAGTGATCAAAGTAGAAACAAACTTGATCTAAAATCAAGGAAATGTACTTACCTTGGTTATGGTGAAGATGAGTTTGGCTACCGCTTATGGGATGATGAAAACAAAAAGATGATCCGCAGCAGAGATGTCATCTTTAATGAAAGAGTGATATATAAGGACCGACATAACACAAGTGCCAGCAACTCAGAAGCGAGTGGGCCACTTTATGCAGAGGTGAAAGATATCCCAGACATTCCTATAATAAGAAATCTCCTATGAGAGGAACCAAATGAAGAAAGCGAGCAATTTTTGGAGGAGCTTCATGATGTTACCATTGGAGGAGCTTCATGATGTTACCATTGGAGGAACCAAAAAAAAAAAATCATGATGTTACCATTGGATGAGTTAGATTTGGAAGATCTTGAATATCTCGAAGGATTGGAAAGGGAATTAACCGCATGGGAGCAAGAATTTTTGGAGGAGCTTCATGAACGTAGAGATTGGGAGGAACGTGAAAGACAACTCATGGAAGCCCGAGAAGCAATGGTGATCGATGTTAATGGCCATAAGGATGAAAGAGAGCTTAACTTCTTAATCCTTGAGG